ATTACCTAAAGCACCTTGTAACCAGTGTAGGAACATGGGGTCTTTCCCCTTCAGGACCAGGATTACCGTGTCCACCAACTCGAAGAGCTTGGAGACGGTGAAGAGCATGACCCACAGCCCCGCCGCCCCGTCCCCGTACCCGGCCTTGTCGGGGGCTTCGCACACGGTCGTCTTGAAGTCCTTGTGCGTGAAGAGGAAGAGGAAGTGGGGGACGACGCGCGTGGCTCCCAGGACGGAGAAAGCGGCCAAAAATGCGTTCCAAAAGGCGGGGAAAAGCCCCAGATTTATTGGTCCTTTTCCCTCTCGCCTCCTGCGCTCGATGTATTTTTTGCCCTCTATCAGGAAGGAGAGGTACAGGATGGTGGCGACGATGGGGAGGGCTTGGTTATCCCGTATGACTTGAAAGGAGGAAGAGACGTCGAAATTTTTCTCCCACTCCATGTAAAAGGGCTCTAGCCATGGCAACGATTGAAATACTTGGACAAAACGGACGGGACTCTCTGGATCTGCTGTCTTGTAGCGACTCGATGCGTAAAGAGGCCGCGGGTCTCGCCAGAGCCACGCGGGCAAGGCAGATTGCATGGTGGACTGCACGACACGAGCTACTGAGGATCCTACCGTAGCAATCAATCAAATATAGAAGGCCCCAGCCTGTCCAAGTAATGCATAAAAACCGGGAAGGAGGGGGAAAAGTGACTGAAGTCGAAGGGTTCAAAGCCCGACACGCTGTACAAGGACGTGTTGGGTAGAGCTACTTTGGGAACCACGCTAAGCATCCTTCTGGTGAGCACAGATCATTTAATAGTAGAGGTCCGGCCCGCATATCGTAATAGTGAGCTCGGCCTAATAGGCATTGAGAAATCGGGGTTCAGGCAAAACAGAGGCGAGGCAACCGATCATGGTCTCAAGGCTGCGCACGCCCCTCTCTCCAAGCAGGCGATGATCGTAGCGACGGGGACAGGAGCCAAGCAAGCATCGGGCACCAAACTTAAAGCGCACACTGCATCCAACGAGCGCTGTGGTCAACCAATCGACGAGCACACCTCATTTACTTCCACTTTCGCCCTCAAAAGACGGAAGACGCGTGTCCTGCTCACGTATTATGCCCTGGCGCATCAAGGGGGGAGGAACGGCGAGCAGGGACATCGAGCTGGAAAGGAGCGAGCTGCAATTACCAAAAATCAGGAGTCTCGTGCTCCTTGGTACCTGACTGTACCGCAAAAGTGGCCTAGATAAGAACATTTGTGAAGAGAATCGGCTTTTCAAGACGGTCTCTGTGACAAGTGCCACTCGTGATTTATTTTGCGGGTGTCTTGCTAGGGATCGCTTGACACTCATGAATTCAGAAGAGGGCTTGTACTGAAGTTTAGCTATGAAATGACATCATATTCGGGCGTTGTCACTATGAAATTATGTCACAAGAAATCATGACATGTTTTGAAAAAGTGCCACGAGAAAACAAAATGCTCCGCAGTAGTAGTAAAAAGTTGCCACATATACCCAAACACAATTTGTAAGACTGGGCTGCCATCCTCCTCGAACGTTGTGACTAATGATGCACTAGCACACAATTACATCTCCTTTCCGCACAATTAATACTTATAGCTTTCTGCTATTTGCTATGCCTTACGCTTTACAAAATCAGAGACGTCTCTGCACGTTTTTTATCAGCTTTCTTACATTTCTACCTCATAGCTGGTGAAAATAGTTGAACATTTCAACTCCTTCCGATTGCATTTCCTTCGTCTCCCACTGTCTCACGGGCATTACTAGTAGGATTTTCCTAGTGATATCACAAAATTCTCCGACGTGTTTACCACAATCAGGACATGGGGAAAAGCGTCCTCACGTGAGATTCCCCGTATCAACCATACAACGTTGAAAGCTGCGAGACCTTATGAATTTCTGGAGCAGTCACATACACTAAATTGCACATGTAAAGCCTTTTTTTTTCGCGCATTTCAATAGCCGCGAGGAATGTAGTTTAGAATGAAAAACATCCAAACATGTTTTCAGCGTCTCACTTCCCCTTGCCCGTCTCTCTCGCCTACGAAACCAGCGAAGGCTCATGTTCCACGCTTGAAAACCGTGCCGCTCACGCACTGCGGGCCACCACGGACATTTTAGAACAACTTCCCTCCTTCCTCTTTTTCTGACCAGGGATCAATGACGGACGGCAGCAGCAATGGCACTGCCGGTGAAAGTGTCAGCGCTGTACTGCCACTCCGGCGACGTGTGCCCCCCGCAGCTCGACGCCGTCACGACCGTCGTAGACCTCTGCCGTGGCGGCGGGGGCAAGCCGCCTTGTCGCAAAGCCTTACAACGTCAGACTCCTCCCTTATTTTCCCCCTCTCCACGACGGGAGGAAGCCACTATGTCACTCTGGAGATCGGGACTCCACCGCAGGCGCAGGCAGTTATTGTCGACACGGGCAGTGCCTGGGTGGCATTTGGGTGTGCTCCTGGCTGTGACATGTACTGTGGCGAACATGTCCACCCATTCTTTGCGTATAATGAGAGCTCCAGCGCTCGAATCCTCAAATGTGGGGAATGCAGCACCCAATGCTTGGATGATTTGTGCCTGGTCACGCAACACTACTCCGAGGGCAGCGCGTGGCGGGCCTTCTCGGTGGAGGACAGCGTTGGTTTTCATGCTGAGCCCGGCACGCGCCAGGCTCCAACAAATGTGCCTCCGACGACCGTTCCCTTTGTGTTCGGTTGCCAGACCAAACTCACGTAGGTGCATCTTTCTCTTTCGTCGCGAACAATTCATGCTGTGATCAATTCATGCCGTGATCTGCACCCTTTCCCCGCCCGGGCCCGCCCCGCCTGTTTCACCTGCCGCGTCCCTTCTCACTCCCTTTTTCCCCTTTGCACCTCTCCTTGCGACAGTGGTCTTTTCGTTCCGCAGCTGGAAAACGGCATCATGGGTCTCTCTCGCGGCCCTGAGAACCTCGTCTCCCACATGCGGGCCGCCGGGCGCATCCCGCGGGCGGCTTTCTCCCTCTGTTTCCACGAGCATCCTAACGACGGGGGCTGGATGACCGTGGGCACTCTCGATGATGCGACCAGCAGCAGTCGTGCCTCGCGGGACCTGGGAGAGGGTGCGGCCCAGGATGGAGGAGACCAGGGGGGGGCAATGGCCTATGCCTCCCTGACGCCCTCCCCCACCGGCTGGTTCCTGGTCGAGCTTCGCGCCCTTTTCCTGGGGGGCCACATCCTCACAGAGTCGGACGCTCCCGTTTCTCCCGCTGACTCCCCCTCTACCCCGCCCACCCGGCGCCGGCATGCTCTTCTGGACTCGGGAACCACCGACACCTACATGCTGCGCTCACTCCGCCCCTCGTTCTCCTCCCAATTCTCCCGCGCCACCAGGGGGCGTCTCCCTTTCGTGCCCGGGGCGCCCTACCGGCTGTCCATGTACGAAGTACTCCTGCTGCCCGCCTTGGAGGTGGATCTTGGCGAGGAGCAGGCGGGGGCCGAGAGGACGGGGGCCCGTCTGTCCATCCCGCCCATGTCCTATATGGAGGAGCAGAGGGAGGGCGAGAATGGGAATGGGGAGGAGTGGGAAAATGAGACGGAGGGGCAGGGGCAGGTTGTGCGGACAGTGTGGGTGCCGCGCCTGTATTTCACAGAGGCCTCCCTGGCCATCCTGGGGTCGAACGCCCTCCGCGGTCAGGAGGTGCTCTTCGACATGGAGGGAGGGAGGGTGGGGGTCCGGTCCCTGCCCTCCTGCTCCCACCGGCGACGGGCGGCCGCGTTGGCGTGCGAGGAGCAGTGTGGGAGGCTCTCTGCCTCCGCGTCTTCCCCCCCTGCCCCGCCTGTTTGTCGTCTGGATGGGGTCACGGACACGTCTGCCTGCCACGCCACCTGTGGTCTGGCCAGCGAATGGGAGGAAGCGACTGGCGGTCGCTCCTCCGGCGTCCGTCCCGGCGAGAGATTCGGAGCACCCAGTGAGGGAGTCAGCGACGAGGGAACTAGCGTCGATCCCTGGGGCTCGGACAGGGCGAGCGTCGTCCGGGAGGGGAAAGCGGGGCGGCGGGCCTCGCACCTCCTGTGGGAAGGCGGGCCCTGCCCCCCACTGCAGCCTCCGCAGCGCACGCCTAGGGCAGAGGCGGAGGATAGGGACCGTCTAGCCGCCGCCCAATGGAGGCAGTGTCGCTCCCTCCTCTTCTCGGGTGCTCCTGGATGCGCCGATTTGGCGCTTGCCCTCCTACCCCCTCCCAAATTCCACGGCCCATCCACCCACGAGAGCGCGGAGAACTTCCCCTCGGGAGACCTGCCTTCCCCGTCCCTTCTGTGCAGCAATCCCTGCATGGAAGCCGTACGATGGGCCTGTCGGGACGCCGAAGGCACCTACATTCCGCTGCTGAGAGGTCTTCCCCACGACTTCTGCGCGCGAAACCAAGAAGGAAAATATTGCTTGGAGGCATACATGCCCCTTCTGTCAGGGTGTCCCTCTTCAGTAAACTGCACTGCCTCCCTTCCCGCCCTCTGCGGGGCCCTCCAAGACACGGGCTGTTGCTTCCAGCATCTATTGCCCCGCCATCCACAAGCTGCCGACCTCAGCTTCCATTGTCCTCGCTCCCAAGACACCCCCCCGGCCTGTCCCCCTCCGCCGGACACGCTCTTTGGACCGGGCAGCCTGCCTCTCTCGGCCGAGCCCGTCACCTCTCTTTCCTCCTGGGGCCGCAGTCTCACGGCGAGCGAGATCGTCCTTCTGGGTAGCCTGAGCCTCCTCTCCCTCCTCCTTGTGGCCGTTGTGCCGAGATGGGCCCGCGCCCTGGCCTCGCGGGGTTCTCTTGGGGCGTGGTACCAACACCTACTGCGAACAATCTCCAGGAGACCTTCGGTTTCCTCCGTCGGAGGGGATGGCGTGGCGGGTGAAACTGATAGCCTCACCAAGGAGATAGAGCGAGGGACTCCGAGAGCACAGTGTGTGTGATTACCTAAAGCACCTTGTAAAGAAAATTTGTGATTTTAGGGGTTCTTCTCTTTTCTTCTTTATCTTCGGAAATGATTGGCAAGCAATCAGTAAGTGCCGAGGGCGTCGTTACTTGAAACGCGCCAAATAAATTCGGTATGCGTTGGCACACAATTTTCACGCACCGCCCTCCTTCTATTTCTCTGCATGCCGGTGAGGGCATTCCTTATTGAAGTATAGAATGATGACGTAAAGTGCTGCCCATTCTTTGCGTGAAAGATTATTGCTTATTGCCAATCAAGAAGTCTGCCTTTCTTTCGGCGCATGTCCTTGTCTGTTGGTTCAGCCAAGCTTCTTGTGCTTTTTATGCAGATGTGTATGCCTCTATGTTTACTAATCTGGCCTAAGCCCACCGTCTTACCACGCCTTTCACCATAGTCATAGCATGACCTGGTCGTTGGGCTCCTATTTCCTAATGTTTTGATCTGACCGCAACGAAACATATCTGGAGTAATGTAATAAGTAATACATCGCCTCCACGCTTCTCAAATGGTTCGTTATCTCTCTTCCTTTCCAGATGCTATTTGTGCGATCCCGTGTCCCTTCTTAAGCGTGCCTCTCTGCCCGTCTCCGTCTTCATGTCGATGCTTGTGTTTATGCATACGCACGGCGCACGTCTAAACCCCGCCCTGGTGGATAGCCCGCCGACACAGGCAAGTCAAGAGATGCGTTTACGGAGTCCGATGCACGGGGCCGAGAACGTGCAGGCAAGCGCGAAGATGCCATCGGCGGGTACCAGCCATCCCGGAGAAGGTACGCCATAGATTTGCCCTCAGTGGCAGGGACGATGGCGTCCTCAGTGTCCAAATACTGGCGGCCTGAGAGCGTTGACCCGGCGCCACCCATGCGCAGCGACTGGCAAGCAAGGCTGCCGGGTCGTTGCGGCTGGTGAAGAGGCGCGTGGGCGTAAGAATCGGGAGGTAACCGGGGGCGGGACGTGGAGACCAAGGGAGGATTCCGGGGGGGGCGGCCGGGGATGTGCTCTTCCTGTTGCGGGCCGTATGTGACGGTTGGAGTCTTTGGATAGTGACGCCTGGAATCGAGCAATGTTGCCGGCATCGCGGTGGCCGGAAGGGGCGCGGTCAGATCGTGAGTGAGGAGAGGCAAGTCCTCCCGTTTATGGGACGGCGAGTACATGAAAATGTCTTCTTGTCCGCCTTGCGAAAAGCCCTCCTCCAGGTCCAAAGGTAGACCCAAGCGCCGGGCCAGCCGTGCCTCCGCCGCTCGCTTTCGACGCCCTTGCCC